GCGATTTGAAAACCCGCTAAAAGCATGACCCTGATGAAGGCCACAAGCCGAGATACGTCGTTTTCATTTGAATGCAAGTGTTGCTGGAGCTTTTTGACCTCTTCAGGCGAGACAAACCTTACCTGCCGCAGCCTCGCTTTTGCTCCGCGTAGCGTCCTTTGCCAGGACCAGCTCACTCTGGGAAGATGGGGAAGATGAAGTGGCTTTTTACATTAGAGACCGTTGCAATCAGATTTTTCAAACGCTCCTAATAAAAATGGACTTCAGGTTGATGTGACTGCTTGCAGTAATTATTGGGGGATCGTTATGTGTTTATAGTGAGGGAAATTGAGAAGTGATTATTGAACAGCATGAGGATGCACTGTGATTGCTTTTGGAAACTGGAAAAAAAAAACAATATCTTTTGGCCGATCAAAAAATGGTCCAGTCTTTGACACAAATCCCTGATCCACTCTGAACCAGGAATGGTCATTTTGGGTCTCTAAGACACAGAAGAAGTGCGGAGACTCGGCGTGAAAGTAGAGAAAGTTGTGCTTTTACGTCATATAATTTGACTGGTAATCATGGAAACACTATCTCTTTGTGCAAACACGTAGTTCAGGTGTTTTGGTAAGGGTTAAGATATTCAAAGCAGGAAACTTGGCGTTGGCATTTAGCAGGAATTTTCTCAAATGCCCTGCTATGAAATTTCAGCGCCCTGTCACTTGTCGCTCATGTTCTTCATCGGTAACTGACCGCGTCTTTGTGGGCCCGCCTCTCTCTGTCTGTGAATCAGCAGGTATGCTCTGTGGTTGGACATCAGATCATGCTCTATACGTATCCTGGGACCTGTGTGGGGTTTTTTAAAGTCTCAGTGAGCAGCAGGCTCCTCGCCGCCTTGTCACATCGGACACGTTGAGAGGCCACAGTTTGCGGCTGGCGCTCAGTTTGTTGTTTTAAGCTCGGTTGTTCCGAGTCCCCCCCCCTCATGTGCCCGTGGTTCTCCCTCTTCCTGCGTTTATTTGACTTTTCCAGGTTTAAATTGATTGTAGATACTCGGCTTTCTTATGAGTTTAGTTTTTAAACAGGCTCGATGCATGCTCTGGAAACTGTTGTTTTTACCCCCAGGCTTCTTCGTGCTGCCGGTTCTTTGAGTTTGACACGGTCCAAATTTAGATGTGCATCATACATTGCTACAGAAACTAAATATATGAATTAAAGCTGCCAGCATTAACATGTCTCCCAGTAGTCTCAGTGATGTAAAAGAATTACACTGCTGCATCTTTGAATGTCTCATTTCACTTTAACAAACTCTCAGAGTCCAAAGTAATATCCACCTTATGACATCACACATTTACAGGCGGCAACCTCCGATGTTGCCAATGAGGAAGTGCATAATCCTGCAGTTCCTCGAGTGTCCACTAGAGGCTGGCTGCAGAAACACAGGAAGTCACATACACACCCATTCTAAAAAGTCTGTTTTTACCGCAGAGATCAACATGTTTACAGCCTGGTTCAAAAAACCAAACAGGTCTGATTAGCTCATGTCTCGATCACACACTGTACGGGTGAATGTTTTCATGACTCATCAGTTTTGATTTGATGAAGGATAAGAGTTATTCACAATAAGGCGTGTAGCTGACCTGATTGACAGGCGGGCGTGGTTTAATGGTTTGTCACGAGGCTGTAATTCAAGACAGATGGGTAAGACGTGCTGGTAAAGTTTAGGAGCGTTTATTTGAATATTGAAAAGTCCGGATGCTGTTGTTGTCATACAGCTTTTGGCTCGTTAGTAAGGATAGAAACATTTCCTTTTTTCCTAAATCTGGTCCATCAGCAGGAATACTAACCGTTAAGCTCTGTAATATAGCCCGCGTACATCGGTACTCTGCGTGCTTTCGATACAAAAAAGAGATTTTATTGTCAGTTTAACGGGGCTGAGGATTGTGTCTGATCTTTTGTGAACGGTGTAAATGAACAGTTTCTTTTGGCTCCTTTGATTTTGGACTTTGATGAAATGCTCGGCCTTTCTTTGTCACACACTGTTAGACTGGCAGAGTTAGAGAAAGGACGTTTTGTTTGTGGAGGGGACTCTCTGGGGGGAATGGCACCTTAATGAGGTACTTGAAGTGCTCGTGGGCCCCATGAAGGGACTTTACTTATGGAGGGGGGGGTTTGCTCCAGATCTGGATGAAGTTAGAGCCTCCAAATGAATTCAAGTACTGGGAAATAAAAATACTAATTATTAATAAAGTCTACTATCTGACTGTGTTTCTAACTAATGTAACTAATTTGGAGATACACAATCGATGGATTAAGAAGACCTACGATGCAATAATGTTTTTTGTTGAGTGAGTTTATCCATGGTGGTGAAGAGGGAGCTGAGCCTGAAGGCAAAGCTCTCGATTTACCAGTCGATCTACGTTCCAACTTTCACCTATATGGTCATGAGCTGTGGATAGTGACCGGAAAAAGAGATCATGGATACAAGCAGTTGAAATGTGTTTACTGTAGGGAGATAGGGTGAGGAGCTCGGCGTAGAGCTGCTGCTCCTTCACATCGAAAAGGAGCCAGGTGAGGGGGTTCAGGCATCTGGTCAGGATGCCTCCTGGTCGCCTTCCTCGGGAGGTCTTCCGGGCACGTCCAACTGGCAGGAGATCCAGGGGTAGACCCAGAGCTCTTGGAGGGATTATTTATGCCCTCTGGCTTGGGAATGCCTCGGGATTCCCCAGGAGGAGCTGGAAAACGTTGCTGGGGAGAGGGACGTCTGGGGAGACTTACTAGGCCTGCTGCCACCGAGACCTGGACCCGGATAAGCAGAAGATAATGGATGGATGGATGGATGGAGTTTATCCATTGAGGTCAAGATGATTTTAGGGTTGTCACAATACCTGATTCTACATGTAGCTCAAATTCAACATATTGATAACTGTTTTGAAACCATTGCAACAGCAATAGAAGTCATAGGCAACCTATATTGTGTAGGGTCTCGTTGTTAATTCCCCCAAATTGCCAGAAAACTCCTGCACACTGTCTAAAATGAACAAATGCTGTATGTTGGCCTTGTTTTGGTTCCAGTACAGACAGACAGTGCTCTCTCTCTCTCTCTCTCTCTCTCTCTCTCTCTCTCTCTCTCTCTCTCTCTCAGAAGACTAGAAAAGAAATATACAAGCTCAAGTCAAGTATCTTAACTTGTAACTTAGTTTATAAGGCTGTGGTTACTCCAAAATAAATCTTGAGTGAAGGCCAAACGGTGTTCAGCACTCTGGCCTCACATTTAGCACAGCTGTTAACACACACTTTATATCAGACTTTATAAAAGAAACCGTCTTTATTGAGTGAAGACATCTGATTGTGCCGTGATGAGCAGACATCCACACACTCCCAAACGTACTTTTCCACTGCTTCCCAGAGTTCAGTGATATCTTTGGCTGCCGTCTCCCTCCCCACTCGCCTCTCAGGAGAACATTGGCCCTCCGTCCTCCGCCTCCCTGCTTCCTCCCCCGGCTCCTCTTCCCGCTGATGAAGATTTAAACACTGGCCTATTTCAGATATTATTGCCTCAGCAGCGCGCTCTGTAAATCATCGAGATAGGAGACCGCATCAAACGGGCTGAGTGAAGGAATGAAGGGATGGAGGGACGAGAGGTCGAGTCACGAGGAGTGTGAGTGCAGACAAGAAGCCTGAGAATAAACACTTTTATCAGAGTCATCAAAAACTGATGAAGAGGAGGAAATGTGACCATATTTTGGTGTGTGAAAAGTGGCGGCATAAACTGGCTTTTGGTTATTAGTAAATAATAGTGATGAACCTTATTTTTTACCTTTATTTACAGATATCTTTTACTTACTCCCCAAAAACTATCTATAGTGATTTTCTCTCATAAACATTACACAATAAAGAAATTAAGTGCTTTTCCTTCCTCTGCCCAGTCACAGTAAAACCAGCTCGTCTGAGCAGGTGCTCCACCTTAAAGTTCTTCTGACTGGTCCTGTGTCATGTTTTTCCTCGGGGCATGGATGGCTGTGCAACTAATCGCTGTTTCATTGTTATGGTGACATATGGCGTTTCCAGTAAAGACATCACGAAAGTATGAATTTATCACAATAAATGAGATATTGATGTAAAGAAATATTTTTTTTCTTACTCAGTATGTTCTTTGTGCTGATTGGATGAAGGCCCCGGTGTAATGGTCATACTTTCACACCATGTTGGTTGTTGTGCAGCCTTTTGGATTATGGAGGGAAGTGTTGCAAACACAGGGATTGTGTGAGACATGAAAACAGCAGAGACAAAAAAAAACTGTGTTAAAGCTGATATGCACTTTTCAATTTGCTTTTTCTATCTCATATTGTCATGATGATTTGAAAGAAATATTGTAATATTGAAGAATGTAATTGCAAATATCGTTGAGGGTTCGATCCCCAGCTCCTGCAGCTACATGTCTGATGTGTCCTTGGGCAACACACTTAACCCCCGAAATGCTCCCGCTGTTTCGTCTGCAGCATATGAATGAATGTGTATGAATGCCATTTGTTAGTTCTGATGGTCACTTTAACTCAGCAGCCTCTACCATCAGGGTGTGAATGTGTAGGTGTGACATGCGGTGTAAAAGCACTTAGAGTAGTGAGGAGACTAGAAAAGTGCTACTTACCATTTACCTTGTTTTAATATTCTGCAGGTTTAACGAATAGTCATGTCTTGGCTGCAACATGGACAAGCCAAATGTGTCGCAGAGCAATTCTGTAGAGTCCCAACAAGCTTCTGCAAAAAGAAACGAATAGGCAAAACAAAACAAACCCTGTAGGGACTAACTTTTATCTATTACAACACTACATCAACATTTAAAAATCTAACTACTGGAAAAGGCACAAAAACTCTCAGAAATGTATCAAATCTACAGGACTTTGTCAGGTCAAGTTGAACAGGCAAGCCTCTTTTCTCCTGAGATGAACTCTGAAACATCCCTGAGTGTGTTTTCATGAGTCCTGTCTATTCCTCTGTCTCTGTCCCCTCCACAGACGGGATGAACTGCATGAACAAGGACCACGGCTGTGCCCACATCTGCAGAGAGGCTCCTGGCAAAGGTGGAGTGTCGTGCGAGTGCCGTCCTGGATTTGAGCTCAACAAGAACCAGAAAGACTGTACATGTAAGTATCTCACCTGACCTCGGTGCATCCCATCATCCCTACATCATGCTGAACATCCTAACCACTCATGCTCCTCTTAACATTTCCTCGCTGTCATTTTTCTTTCTCTGATTTGGGTCTGTGGTCATCTGTAAAGATCGATAAGCCTTCTGAGGCACATTTGTGATTTAAGTTAAGAGACTCTCCTGTTAGGTTAACCTTTGGCCTCATAGCAATGTGTCAGACTTGTTCACATTAATGGATTATTTTAAACCTGGGTTTTATTTTTATATATTTTGGGATTTCTCTTGTATGTTGCATCAGCTAGCTGCCGACACAGGGCTGTTAATTAGATCTTTGTTTAACCAGAAACAGCCTTTAACCTGCTGTACTCCAACCAACCAGACCACATTGACAACGATGATTTTACAACGCAGAGCATTACTTTTTCTGATCTACTGCTGCCTTCACTGGTCGGTTTCACAGCACTTGTAGTGGGCTTACTTTGATTAAGCTAATTGCCTACAGGTCTTGCACTGCAGGCATTACAGCTTGTTTCACGGCTGCTGTCTGAAGGATTCTGCAAAAGAAATACATCTATTCATCCCCTCAGACGTTAATGTCTGTATACCTGGTGCGTGTTTTAAACTACTGAAATGTCCCTTTATATAAGCGTCTCAGACGTTGGATGTCTTGCAATCCTGCGTAACACTTTCTGTCATCTGTTAATCTTTAGCCAATTGACTCGCCACTTTACTTTACAACCCGCATGGCAGCGAGGTATTAACACTTAGTTTCATGGTCTGGAGTTTATTGAGGTTACGTACTGGTGCGATGGAGGCTCTAAATTCTTCCTGTAATAAACATCTGTAATAGCAATGATGGACATGTTCCAGGCGGCCTTCAGCGGTGAAAAAATTAGGGTGGACATTTAAGACCAAGATCAGTTAAGCGTCTCGGGCCAAGCTGAAGGTGCTGAAGGATTCAGTAGAGAGCATTCATGTCTCTTAACCCCTTTCCTCCGCTGTTTTCGATAGGGGGGAAAATAAGCTTTTAGTTACACTTTGTTTGGCAACACATCTTGTTCTTCTCTTGGACAGCAAGAGTGTAAAGATTGTGAAAGCTCCTGAAAGGCTCTAATGTGTCCCCCCCCCACCGTGCTGGTGTTTCATTGGCGGCGGGGGACGCAGTGCTATGGCGGCACAGGACGGCAGTAAACGGGTGATGAAAGAAGTGCTAGTGATGTCAATTAACTCCTCCGAGCACACACATACATGTCTCTCCTCCCATTTCATCCCTACTTCTTTTCCTACATCCTTTTTCCCTCTCTCCACCTCATCCTCTTTAAGTTGCTTCTACCGTCCTTTCCTTTCCTTTCCTTTTTTTCTGCTTTGAAAATCAAAAGTGGCCGAGTTTAGGAAAACCGCACACTGCTCCCTGAAATGTGTTTACGCATGCTTTCCCTTTTCACCTCCAGAACTGTGACTATTAGAAAAATTAGGAGAAAGTACAACTGCTGGATGGATCATTTGTGTTTATCATGGCAAACTCCGTGTTAGGTTTTTGTGGCCCATTTAAAAAGTACGAGTCCCGTTGGCTGTTTCGGAGCCAAGGACGTAAAGTGAGATCTGATGGATAAGTGCTGAGGTTCTTGAGTTCTCCAGAAAAGGTCCCGGTGTGAAATCTCCTCCTTCTAATCACCTCTTTCTCCCATTAGTTTTTTTTTTACTTTCTCCCTCTACCTCTTTTTCACAGACAAAAAAAATCTTAAATCGTTTAATTACACAAGTCTTTTGTTCAACACTGTTAACAATCCAGGAGTAAAACTTGACTGTGTGTGTGTGTGTTGTCTCCAGTGACATGTAACTATGGAAACGGCGGTTGCCAGCACACGTGTGATGACACAGACACAGGGCCGGTGTGTGGCTGCCACCAGAAGTACGCCCTGCACTCAGACAGCAAGACCTGCATCGGTGAGTCACAAAGATGTTTCTGTTGTTAGCACGTAGTTCATTCGTGTTATGTACGAGGCGATTGGTGAGTTTGAAGCTATGAGTTTGCAGACTCATCGTCTTCTTGCTCCCCAAATTATCAGTGTCTGTTTTCACGTACCGATTTGTAGAGAGAAATTACTTTTTTTGGTTAGGTTAAGGTGCTGAATGGTTTCCTTAGAAGTCACATATTATGCAAAATCCACTCCGTCTTTTGCCTACTCCACTTTTCAGAAAATGTGTGCTCAAACAGGTCGTTTTGAGATTTTCCCTTCATGACATCACAAAGGGCAGTAACCCCTCCCCCAGGTGGGTGACACTCCCACAGCTAGGTGTTTGTTCTGCCCTCTGAGTCTGCCTTCTCACCGTAAACAATAGAACATGGAGCGAGAAAGCTAGAGCCACCCAAGTCCTTCCAGAGAGGGGGCGTGGTCAGACACAGTTCATTTACATTTAAAGGTACAGACACAGAAACTGTCTGTTCTGAGCAGGGCTGAAATAGAGGGGTTTATAGGCATGATCAAATACAGGATCAGAGTAACAAGAAGCTTCACACACATGTTTTGAGGAGCTCTGAGTATTATTTAAACTGGTTAAAGAGGAGGAGAATATGTGACCTTTAAAGAAACCTATCATTGTGCTGGATAAAAGCTGGAAAAAAAAAAAAACTAGAATGATTTTAAGATTCACACTGGAGTTGAACGCTTAGTCTTATGGGTGAAAGTCCTGTTTGAACCATCAGCACTGGTAGAAATTTTTTAAGATGTCAAGTAAAATGTAAAAATGTTGGTCATTTCCCAGCCAACACATCCATCTCATGGTCTCACTTCACTGAACATCACTGAACATGCTTACATGTTCTCCCTTCAATGGTCCCATGCAGATGCTTTGGTTGAGTTCAGGCCCTAAAAGAACTCATTATGTTCAGATAAATGTCATCCTGTGTACATTACATCACTGATGTAATTAACACAGTTTATGTAACTTACATAAAATATGAAACTTGGGATGTATTAACTTCCTAAGAAGACAGGATGGATTTTAGAGTTTTGACTGCACATAGAAAAAGTATGTTTAGTTGACAGCATCCAGAAGTGGAGCTAGAGGGGTGACTACAGTCGGGCTACGAGAGAAAACGATCTCATCATGGGTACTGGATTGGTCCTAGGCTGCATTTGTGTCTCATCGGCCCTGTAAGGACATTGAAGGACCCTTGTTCAACCCATTTGGTCTCACCAATCAAGGCCTCCAGAGAGACTCAAATTTTAGTGTGGTTTCACACTAAGGAGACGGGCCCGGCTCCAAGTTCACTTGACCCCAAAGTCCGGTTCATTTGATCAGTGTGAACACAAACGTACCGTACTTGGGTACCGGGCTCAAGTCTGCTTGAAGACGTGGTCTTGGCCATGATTCATGCTGGAGATGTGAACGCAACCATGCTCATATGGTTGCCATGGCTGCTTCTTCTCTTTGCATTTTAGGCGGCCTTGCAAACCAACATGTAGACGATATTATTTTTACCATGCAATTTTTCTAATCAGTCGAGGATGAATGAGGCGTTCCAGGTAAGTGGAGTTGTCCATAACTCTGTTTTACTCTACTGTCTCACTGCTGATTTAAATGTAAGCAAACTGAAAGCAATTAACATCAACATTTCCTCACTCTTGTTGACAGTCTATAGCTTCAGGCTTATTCCAGTCTCAATGGTAACTTTGAGAAAATGAGCCTCAAGGGCCTGTTATATCAGGTATTGGTCATTTGCAAACACACATTTATAATTTGTGTCTTCAAATTACTGATAAAGGTGTAATCGCAGGAGGAACTTAAGTTAAAGGTTGACTTTAAATGTTATTTTATTGCCTGTGCTCTGGAGACATTTGGGCTTTTAAACACAATTTGTAAACTTTGGTGACAAATAGGTGACAGGATATCCTGCACATAAAAAGGTATGACATTGTGCGACGGCTTCTATGTTAAAATTTGAATCGATTTACAAGAAATAACAAGGCAGTTAGAATAGGCAGGCCCTGCTTGAAATCTGATTGGCCACCCCAGGTGCCACCCCTAAATCCTAAACTATGATTGGCTTTTTGCCTCGTCAGAGGCGGGGCTTATGCTCAAATCAAGTATTTGGGCAGTGTTGGAACAGTCTGGTTGTAGTTTTCTCTTTGTCTGAAAAGGAACACTAAAAGAATATTGTCTTAGTATTTAGATTTTGATGCTGGACTAGTTCAAAGTGTAGCATGTAAAATTCTGTGTTAGATTTATTTCAGGGTCAGTAGATATAGTTTTTTGGGTCCAGTAGATCCTCGAACCAGAGGCCCAGTCTGGGCCAGAGGCACTCACTTTAATGTTGGACCCTGTATTTTATTCTAACTTTTCTTTCTTTACTTAACATATTAGTTTAAATTCAAAAGCTCTAGTTCAGCAGAGTTTGGCTCAGCTGGATAGATTTGGATCTGATTTCAGATGGTGGAAAAAAATCCTTAAAAATGAAGATGACAAAAAGATCAATCACAAAAAGATCACTAGAATCCAGGACTTTGGGATTATAGTTTCTAAGGGCGACGATCTTGCCACATTCTCTAAATTGGCAGGAAGAACGTTTACCAAAACTCTGTCCCATTAGTGAGCTACTTGGGAGTCCATGTGACTTTTGTTTACAAGTTCTGGTTCATTTGTAATAGGCGGTGTAAACCTTAATGAAGCAAATAAAACAAAGTCAACTTTTCCATGTGGTTAAAACCAGGGACAACAACTAGGAGTGTGATTTAACACGTAGTTACATGTAAGCAGAGCAGATTACAACCACATGCACATCTAGAAGTTAAGCTTTTGGCTATTGGGGTCACACTCATGGACTGTGATGTCTTTTTGATATGCTGTCCTTCCTGCTGTGTTTAAACACTGGAAACACCTCTTCATCTCTGTTTGTGTATCTCTCTATGTCTTTTACCTTCACTGTTTGGACAGACTGCTGAGCTGCTTTTCCGCAGCTCCATGTTTTGACTGCTCATAACCCCATTTTCTTTCCAGCTGCTTTTTAAGAAACACCACGAAGACAAAAGCTTCAAAGAGGAAGCCAAACTGATGGCGATCAGGAACCCTCCTCTCCATACCTTCCAAATGTCTTGTTTCTTTTCTCTCTCTGTCTCTGTCTCTCTTCATACTTTGACGAGAGAAGGACCTCTGTGTCTGTGATCTGAGTGTCCCAACTGCTCTATGGGCCTACCTTTAAACCCCACCCCACCTTCCCTTCTACTCTTTCTATGTAGCGCTCTCCCTCTGCTCCTCCTCCTCCCTCCTCCTCCTCCTCCTCCTGCTTTCTGGTGATAGTACCTGATTGCCTGTCTTGTCTGAGCATACATGTTATAGCCGAATCGGATGGATTCTAAAGGCCTCGGTGCACAAGAGGAACTCTGGGTGGGGTCAGAGGGTGTTAGACTTGGACATCTCAATTGCAGCCTGATCTTAGGTTAAGCTCCCAAGAAAGCAAACCTTACCTGCTCCTCAAGCTCTCTCGCTACATCCTCATTCTCCACCTCCTCAAAGCAAAAAAAAAAACAACAACTGGCTCATCAACTTCCAAAACCCACAATCCAACAGCAAAATGACCTCCATGACTCATCCCCATCCATCAGCCCCCTCTCTCGCTCCATACACCTCAATTAAAAAGGCAGGGACTTGCACCACTCACTCTTCTTTACTCGTATAACCTGCATGTGTCCACTCATAGTTGCCATATTGTCCATTTGTCTTCCACTACCTCTTTTGCTAATCCTTCCGTCCATCTGTCTGCTTGTCTAAACGTTCAGCTGCATGGAAAAAAAACCTGCACTGCATTTTAACGGTTTCTCTTTTTAATTCTGTTCTCTTATTACTTTCCCCGTTTTGAATTGAAGTACATTTTTGTTGTTGCTGTTTTTTTTAAGGAACCCTGTTCACCAGTGATTTGATTTTTAACATTTCCCTTCTAGCTGTAGTTGTAGTAAAGTGGTTTTACTCCCCACCCTCCCTCCCTCCTTACCTTCCTCCCTCCCTCCCTCCTCGTCCTGTGTAGGTCCGGCTCTCTAAAACGCTCCCCTCTCAGCGGGCCTCCCACCACCACTTAGTCCCACAGACTTTAAAGGAGCCAGTGGGCCCAGGGTACGCCTCTCTTGCCGCCCCTTCTCAACCTGTCTCGCACTCGCATTTTTATCCTCCTCTCTGACAGATTTTTTCACACACTCAAGCAAGTCGTTGCTCAAAAGCATGAACACTGGTATGCACAAGTATTCAACAATCACACATTCACACAACCACATTTCACCCGTTAGCTGAGCACCAGAAAGCCTCCATTCATCCCTGAGTGTACTTCAGAGAGTACTTCACTTTGTCCATCAAGCGCCTGAGAGGAGAGAGAGAAAAACGGTAGTGGGCCGGGGAATGGAAGGGACATTAATTACCCCAATATCCAACTCCCCCCCACCACCCTTAGGACTGTGTTTGTACATCAAAGCCCGCTCCTATTGCGGCTAAAGGCATCCATTCACAAAGAGATGCTCATTCAGGCCCTAATGACTCAGGCCCAATGAAAGGCAGACTCCCTTTCCAAGCCCCATCATCAAACCCACCGTCCCCAGCACCGCATGCATGCCATCTTAACAGCCACCGCCACCTTCCTCCCTCTCCCAAATCACCTTCCACAGCCGCCCCCCCCCCCCCGACTGCCCAGCTTTGGGAACATGGTTTTTCCAGTGTTGACTGTTAAAGCCAGTTGTAATGTGTTCCATAGACAAACAGGCAACCAGCGCTGCCCCAGACTGCCTCCTCCTGCTTTTTTATTTCTCTGCATGCATCCCCTCTCTTTAAAACCCCATTTCTCAGTGAGTGCACCCCTTCTTCCCTCATATTTCTCTCCCATTGTGGGCCATGATGGGACTGATTCAGTCTTTTTTTCTCTCCCTTGCTCGCTCTTTTTCCCCACTCTGTCCATCATTCCCTCTCCATCATCTTGTCATTGCTCAATTCTTGGAGTATCTTACTCTGCTATCAGACCTCTTGGTCTCTCCTGTAGCACCCTTCTTCTTCTTCTTCTTCTTTCTGTCATTGTCACACTCTCTTTCCTTTTGCTCAGTCTCTGTGCCCACATTCAAGACAACATGTCTTGGAAATGTTGGACATCCTTTCCTGTACTCTCTGTCTCGTCTTCCTGCTCCATCCTTGCGCAAGGGAATCATTGCTGACAAAGCGTGGCTGTTTGATATGGAAGACAGAAACTCATCGGCAACAACAGCAATGTCTACATCAGAAATAAAATGTCCCTTTACGTTACCCCAATCCCTCCCATCCCCCAAAACCCCAAACCTCTACCCTTATTTTTTTAATAAATAAGCCCTAAACCTTTACCATCTCCCCTCCCTTCCTACCTACCTTCCTACCTACCTACCTACCTACCTACCTACCTACCTACCTACCTACCGCTTCATTTTGTAAGCTACACACTGACTTGATCATTTTCATTTACTTTGTTTTGTTCTTTTGTTTGCTCTGAGGGATTTATCATTTGTTTGGGGATTAACACTCTAACAGGGATTTTGGCGCTTCTTCATCGCTTCTTGCTTCTTGGCTTTGGTTTTTTTTTTTTTTTGCTCAAACGCCAAGAGGGGCTGAAGGTCTGGTCATTTGGGCTTCTCATTAACCTGCTGCTCACTGTTTGTCCCCTTGTCACTTGTGTTTTAGAGAAAGATGAGGCTGCAATTGAGAGCTCTGAGTTCAATGCCACGTCAGTAGCTGATGTGGACAAGCGGGTGAAACGGCGGCTACTTATGGGTAACTCTTTTCTTCCTCTTTCTATGTGTTGCCATGGCGCTTGTGCTTGTATCCCCGACTCCACTTCTCTCCGTTCCTTCTCGTCTTCCTCTCTCTGTTTTATTTTGTTGATTTCTTTATTGTAAACCTTTGATGCCCACTGTGTCCACTCCCACAGTCACAGTTTTGTTGCAACAGTATCTAACTTGATGGAGAAAAAGAGTTTGTTTCTCTTTGAACCCTTCCTCCTTAACCCTACCTACCAAGTTTTCAGACAGCTCTGAGGTTTTCTCAAGTACTAACATTCACTTTCCCAGTTGCACCTTCCACTCCAAATGTTTTATCTTCCATTTCCCCTTTTTTGAATACTCATGTTACAAAGACAGAATACTTTACAGGCAAAGCAAAACCCCTGAAAATGTTATGACGACATTCAGTACCCAGATTTACAGAACCGTTTAATAAAAGTCAAACTGCTTTTGGCACAACATTCTTCATCTAATAATCATTAGAAGGGACAAGACTCAAATCAAACTTCAAATTATTAAGTGCAGGAATACTTTTGAAGTCTTTCCTCTCCTCTCCGCTAAGGGTGGGCTCCGACTCCAAGAGTTTTTAGCCATTTTATCCCCAATTTAACCTGCATGATAATCAGACGGGAAAATGGATCTAGGACTTCTGTATGGTCCAATGCTTGGCAGATTAAAAGGGGTTTACAGATCCAGTTTTACTATTTGGACTGGTTGCAGACTTATTGGGATTTTCCAATAATGTCGAACAAGTTTGGTATTTCAGATTCAAAATATTGATGAGTACTTTTTTACTTTCTGAGTGGCCAACAAGAGCCAATGGCAGACAGTCCTACAGGGATAGGAAGCCAAAAACAGATCGTAAACTTTCCAGCCAATAGTATACTGCTGTTGACGTAAAATGATAAGGTACAGTCTCATCTTTTGTTATTCCTTTTTGAATAGAGATGACTTCATCCCCAGATACATTTTACATGCACTAGATTAGATTACATAAAAAGTTGCCATATTCGAATTGGAAGTTCCTCTCTTCATGCGCATGATGCAACCCAATTTCAAAATTGGTTTTGGAATTTACAACGTATGCAGACTGATCTCGACCTTAGAGAATCATCTGTGAGGTTTTCCCGTTTGATCGAGGTAAAGTCAGCAGACTTGAAGATGTTATGACCAAATGGATGTGAGCCCGACCCCAAAAGAAGTTTCTTGTTTTAACCTCAAATCTCATTTAGGTCATTATCAGGTTTAATCTTACATGTGTATCTTAGGGATGTACAAAACAGTCCACAGCACTACTGATCAAATCTTATGCTATCCGTTTTAAATTTAGGATTTAACATCTTAAGCATGGATGGATCAATATGAGCAGTTTAAGTGTAACTGGAAGTTTCCACAGGATCTACAGTATGTGCGCAGCGTTCCGTCTCCACTGTAGTTTTGCTCCGTCTGACAGTGCTCCCTACCTCACAAGGTCTGTTTTTGATGCATAAGCCCAGCGGAGCGTAGCCATTTACAGCTATACTCACAGGTCCATAAGATCACAGGAGACCAAGAAGATAACATGGGAATAAAGAGACCAACAACATAATGTTGATAAAATGATGGGATATACAATCCAGAGTCTGTATATTGTGTTTTATTTTGAAATTGAAAATAAATCTGCTTGAGATGGGTCATGGTGTGCGCTTTGGAAACATGAGCATTAACTATGGAGGCAGCGATTGGCTCAGCAGACAAGGATCCTGTGGAAACTGCACGTGATGAACTTGTACTTACAAACAAGAAGGAAGATTGGGATTTGGTTGACCAATGACCCTTACCCTGTCACTTCTTGCTCACACAGCATATTCTCATTTTCCTGATGTCTTAATTCATCAAACCAGATTTCATTCTGTGTTCTTCCAACCTATTTGCTGTACAGAGTGAAGTCTTTTATACAACTTTTATCACAGCAGGTTCTGGCCAGTGGGCCTGGAGGAAAAGTAAAGAATTTGTTTCATGGGCGCTTCCTGGTCCCTTCTGTACTACTTTGTCCTTCTCTCTTCTCCTTATACTGAACACTTTGTCTCCACACTGGCTTCATCTCTAGTTCTACACATCAATGTGAATGGGAAAAATCTTTCAAATTACTGAAAAATTAACAATCCCTAGATGTAGGTTTACTTTCAAATTAACCCTTGCACAATGAGATCATGGCCGGCCTGAGCAGTAAATTAGGTAAGCAATGTTTAACACTTTTCAAACCTGATTTAAGTTTTGAAAAGGCTGTGTTGCTTCCAGGTTTCTGAATGTCTTCAGTGAGGTGTCGTTCAGGTTTATTTGTTGGTATTGGAAAAACTGGGTGAATAGAAAGAAGTTTTCTGTTTTGCGATCTTTTTTTGCGAACACCGATCATAGACAAAACGTAATTTGTATCAATAATGCACAGGTCAAAAAGCCCAAGCAACACATGTAGCATAAAGATTAACAAATTAGACCATCGCATTTCTGCATTATCTCTGATGAAGGCCACAAGCCAAGAGGTATCAGACAATTTTGTTAATAAAGTTGATCTCCATACTAAATGTGTTTCGGAGCCTCTTCAAGCCTTTCACTCTTCATGCACCTTGGTAGTTGGTGAAGTTGTGCCAGAAAATCCCGCTCTGCTTCATCAATAAACACAAACAGAAAGAACGATACCATTTTCAACATCAAGTCATTCACTCATGTAAACAGGTTGAATTTATATCGAGCCTTCCTCTGTCTCAAGCAAAGAAGTTCAAATATATGTGTGTCTCATGAGTGAGGGTAAAATGGATTTTGAAATCAATAGAAAAATTGATGCAGCTTACAGCCTTTGCAGTAATGCAGGTGTTGTAGAAAAACATCATAATAAAAATAGAGGTGACCCAGAAGACAAAAGCTTTCGTTTAACCAGTTGATCTATGTTCATACTGTTACCCCCCCCCCCCGAGATGAGCTTTGGGTAAAACCAATGACATCACGGATATGACAGACTGAAATTAAGTTCCTCTGCAGCTTAGATGAGTCTTTGAGAAAGAGTACAGGGCTAAGACATCTAGAGGAAGTTCAGAGTAGAATAACTGCTGCTTCTCACTGATAGAAGCCAGTTTGGGTGGTTTGGGCATTGGATTAGGACTTGTCCTGGGTGCCTCCCTTTAGAGGTTTTCAGGGCAGGTCTAACTAGGAGTTGACGCCAGGGTTTATCCAGAACTTACTGTAGGGTTACAAAATCCAATCTGACCATGGAAAGCCTCAGAATCCGGGAGAGGGGCATCTGGGCTAGCTTGTTTAGCATCCTGTTACCATAATACATCTCCAAATAAGTGGAATGGAAGAAAATAGACACTACACATTATCGCTCAGCACATAGAATAAAAGTATCCTTGGGCAAGGTACTACAGACACATTCTTGAATAGAAGCTTGCTGACTTTGGTTTTGTAGCTTTTAAATCAGAGGCACATTTGCAATGCAAATTTTGTTAAAGTGCATATGCATTCACACGCCAATGTTAATATCACTGAGGGCAACTTGGGGTTTAGTGTCTTTCCCAAGGACACTTTGACATGTCGACCGCAGGAGAGCGAGACGGCCAACTCCACCACTGACCCACAGCTGCCCCTAATGTAGAATAAAAAAACATTTTGTACAATTAAGCGCTTACTTACAGTTAAAAGTAAATGTATCAGTGGTATTAAATTGTACTTTTTCAGTTCCACAAAAATGTTAAATTTAAAATCCATTGACACGGGTGAACACTCCTTTCCTTTTGCATTAAGATACCAACCCAATACCGACCACACTTACAGCTCTGTTTCTGATGGTATGTCGGTTCTAATTAAATGTTTCCTCTTTGGTTACTCCATCATGCCTTTTGCGCTTGAACACACGTGTGTATGCATGTGACTGCAGAGAGCACTGAGGCCAACCTGGCGTTACATTGGCACAGCCCGAACAGCATCAGTATGTTAGATTTGACACCGCTATCAGTTTGTCTGCCTCCTCTGACACACGGTGCTCCAGTCTCTGCCGTCACACGGTGCAGACAACATGCTGATCGAAACAAATGGAACTTGAACTAATAAAAAGGTGCTGCTGAGACAACGATGGGCCGGGGGAAAGAAAGGGAGTGAGACGGAAATGAAAACGGGGAGGGCGGAGGAGAGGAGGGAGCGTCGGGCAAAGTGATGAAAAGTAATACCCAGACGTTTGATGAAGCTGATATGAAAGGATAGCTACATAAAGGAGCCTGATACTGGACACGTCTGGGCAAAAGTGCCAAACCCTGGATTTCAAATAAACCATCACCTCATACTGGTGGAGCTGCCGACATGTGTGTGAAGTATTGGTGTAGCTGTGTGGCTTGATTGCAGACCAGAGCCACGCTGACTGACAGCCGAGTTATGTGGCCATCACAGAGCAAAAACAGGGAACCCGTTGAGTGCTGAAAGCTGATCGTGCCCCCTCTCACCTTTTTACAGTAGTGGGGCATTTGCTGTGACTTGGAATGATGCTTTAGTATAAACAGTGACATGGTTTTCTCTCCTGCTCCCCAGCTTTTAATCAATAGAACATGTGTCCTCCTCTCATGGAAAAGTGGGGTTTGCCGAGGTCAGCGTTTCCATGCAAGGAGTGTGATGGACATGTATATACTTACCGTCTTCCCTCTCATTCCTCGGCTTCTTGCTGACACATTGTAAGTCCTACACATCGCTCGTTACGGGCTGCAAGAGGAAAGTTGAAGTCTCCCTTTGATTTAAATTGCATAAAATAAAAGACATAATTTTGATGAATTTGTTCCCAATCACAAACAAACAAAGCTGCAATGATATCTTTTAGGCGACATGTACCAATAAAAAGTGCATGTATCTTCCACAGGCACAGCTTGTGTTTGAAATCACACACTTTGTCCCTTCTCTCTACCCTTACAGGGAGTTCTATGTAGTGGACTATATAGTGCACATGTTGGCACAAAATCATGTAGATACTCTCCCCTGCTACTGACAGTGTCCTGCTCGTTGTCGCACAACTAAAAGGTTCATCAATGCTGGCTTGAGATCCATAATGCCGGTAAATAACGGAGGTAATTTCAGTGATTAGTAATATCATTCTGATGGTACTTTTAAAAAACGCATAAATATGTTTGGGCGGCAGTAGCTCAGTCTGTAGGGACTTGGGTTGGAAACCGATGTGGACCAAAGTATGGAAGTTGGTCTGGTAGCTGGAGGTCACTTCCCCAGTACGGTCGAGGTGCCCTTGAGCAAGGCACCGAACCCTTAACAGCTCTGGCGCACTCACTGTGTAACAGCCCCTCTCTGACATTTCATGTCCACAGGTCCTGTTTTACTCCATTTAAAAACTTTAACTTTTAATAAAAAAGGAGTTTCTAGTTGTCAGTAAAAAATGCACCAAATATGGGGCCGGATAGCCTAGCGGTTGTGTCGCGTGCTACATGTACAGAGGCTATAGTCCACGCTGTAGCAGCCATTGATTCTTGTCCGACCTCGGCCCTGTGCCGCATGTCGTTTCCCATTCTCTCCTCCCGACGTTTCCTGTCACTTCCCCGAATATGAACTTCTCTACAAATTTGTGTTCACGCTGGTAACGCTCCTCTCGTCCGTCTCAGAGCAGTCAAACAACACTTTTCAAAACTCTGCAGCGCAATGCATGATGGTATATTTATTGCTTTAATAGTGACCATCGGTTGTACACTACTTTTCACTATGCATTGCGGGATACAATGAGTCCACTATATAGAGTATGATAATGCTCACTAACGATTCGGACAACACTACAAAATGCCCAATACAGTGAATAGGTGTGTGATTTCAGACACAGCCGCAGTTTGTGTCTGATCTATACTGAGAGGAGGATCGACTTCATGGACCAAATCAGTTCATGCTTACCTACCGATTTGATCTACTGCTCCTCTTGGTTCTTTTTTTCTTTGGTTTTGTGACTTTCTTAATCTGTACTGTACGATTTTTTTCTTTGACCTTTATTTTACCAGGCAGAATTGCTCGAGATCAAATGACCTCTTTTTCAAGCAAGGCCTGAGCAGACAGTGGTAGACAAGTCACTCTAATATTAGATACAAGGTCAAATGATCAGGGTTTTTTTTTTGTGTGTGCATAATCTCAAGTAAAATGGTCCAAGAATACCCAAAAGAAAACATACAGAAATATGCCCTGACAGAAACTTACAGAACACACACACACACACACACACACACACACACACACACACACACACACACACACACACACACACACACACATACACACACACACACACACAGAGCAGGCTGAGACAGAAATATGCAGGGTTAGATTGAGGGTGTAAAAGGCTTGGAGAGGGGGCTGAGGGGGGCGAAGGGGGCGAGGGGGGCGAGGGGGGGGTGTACCAGGGGCTTGTCCAGCATATCAATCAGGCTCGGCGGCGGTGCATCTGTGTTCCCGTGCTCAGTCTGGCCCTCGGGCTGGGCTGGGCGTGGTTAAGAGAGAGAGGGGCCTGAGCAGGACTGTGCTCACCCTCAGTTAATGATAGGGCCCACTGTACTCAGTATAAATCACTCTGACCCATAAACACCACCTCCACCCACGTCACCTCTGCTCACATACGTGTGGATCTGTGTACACCTGTGCAGGCCCATGGGCCTCAATCATAAGTTATGAAGAATACACATTTTCACACGGACCCAGAGAGTAGACGGGGTCTGCTGTTATACCCCACAGGGCCAATCAGACAGGCTGCCTAGATGATGGAGAGCCTCTCCTTCCAGCCTTCCTTTCTCTTGGCTGTTTTCCTACAATAAAACAAAAACCTCCCTCGTCCTCACTCTAAAAAAAAAAACTCTTCAAAACTTGAAAACTTGTTATCTGGCCGCAGATCTCCTCAACAGAGAGAAATAAATCATGACAAAATGCAAAATGACGACCACAGAGCTTTGATGGATAAACAAACGGCGGTTTGAAAACAGATTCAAAAGAAGGAAAACGCCATGAGATTGATGTTGTTTGGAGCTGCATGAAGAAACACAAACAAATCTACAAACACCGTGCTGTTTCCTGATAGAAAGCAAGCAGCCATTTTGGCTCAGATGTGTTTGTGACTGTGCATTCTGAAAGGGCATTATGCTAATGCCCTGACCTCTGGATCTGGATGTGTTTGCCAGCCTGAAAGGGCTTTTCCTGCTTCCCTTCTTTTACTTCTCTCAAACGCACAATCTCCTGGCATTTTAATTAAATGGGGAAAAGCTGCCAAGAAGGAGGGGAATATCTTCGATTGAGATGTTGCTGTCGCCCAGCGAAGGCCTTTGAATTCCAAATGTCAACTTTCACAGAGCTGACCAGCACTTATTTGATGTCGCAAAGTTTTACTCAGTTTGGTTCCTAAAGGAGATAGGAGTTAGAAATCAGAGGTGTAACAACATTTCTCAGCAGCATGTCGGACTTTCTCTGAAATGACTGAAGTCAAACCCTCGAAAAGCAGAACAGTCACTAAGTGAAACTGCCTTATTAGGTGTCGTTACATTGAATCCCTTCAACAAACACAAGTTAACGTCAAATTTCAGCCTCCTCAGCACTTCTTGAGGCCCGTCGGGAAAGTGTGTGCTGAGCTTAGCTAAAGCAACAGCGGCCAGGCAGGTGAGCTAGAGTTACCATGAGCTCGTGTTTGCTTTGGGATCAGCTCAGGCAATATTCACAAGTCCGAGCAAACTTTATCTGCGCCGCGTACAAGAACATTTTTCTGGAGGAAAATATACACGCCGGTTTCACGGTGTGCTCGAGACTTACTGCACTCAACTTTGCACTAACTTTATTTTTCTATCGACTTACCTTAACCCTACCTTCTTCTATTTGTGTTAACTGATTTCTTGTCACATTTGTAGAAACAGGAGCGACCTTTGGGCCAAAGAGTTCCTCACCCTCCTCCATCAGCACAGTGTCATGTTGTTCTGTCTTCTTTAAATGACTACTGATGAATATGACAAATGTATTTATCACTTCTATATTTAAAAAAAAAAAATGTCTACCCTCTTGAAAACATGATGCTCTGATGTAATTTCTTCATCTGTGTGTTGACAAAGCTACATGAGCAAACACAAGGATACACTTTAAGTTACTGTGTTGTTGTTGGATTGTGTATTCTTGTCCCGCATGAAGCTTTGTTTCCACCACATCAACGTCATTGTCTCTGTATTTCTTTTCAGAAGCAGGGGCCACATGTTAACACACCCCCTTCTTCTTCTTCTCTTTATCTTTTTTCCATCCCTGTCCCGCCCGTGTGCAGAGACGTGCGCCGTGAACAACGGTGGCTGCGACAGGACGTGTAAGGACACGGCCACAGGGGTGCGCTGCAGCTGCCCCGTGGGATTCACCCTGCAGCCCGACGGCAAAACCTGCAAAGGTCAGTGAATGCATCGCAGGGTGGGAGCATCACCTAGCTTGTTCTTACTCCTTTTTTCAAATGCAACGGCTTCACAATATGACGAGGTAAACGTCTGTCCTCTAGCTCGTTTGTTTGTTGAGCTGTAACACTCTAAGAACGAGTGAACATTTGTTTGTGTTGGCTATCTGAGGAGAGAAATATTTTATAAAGGAAACAGGAGTAAGTCTAACTAATTTTGACTATTATTATGAATGTAGGCCCACAATGTCGGTGACATGTTGTGTCTAAACTGTTGTGTCTAAACAAATCAGTATGCCATCGTTTACCCGGAGACACAGTGAACCAGTGTTCAGCTGTGTTGAATAAATTGTGCTCCATTTTAACCATTTTTAAAGGAAGGAATTATACAGTTATTTTAGTGTTAGTTGCAGAGTAACCTTCAAAAATCAAAGCTAAAATCAAACCGTTTTTCTGAACAACCAATTAGTTTTTGTTGCCTTAATGTGATCAAACTGAGACGGTTAAACATTCACCACGTGTTATTTATTGCTGCTCATCTAGAACAGTTGAAACATGAGATGAAAATCTAACTTAGCAAAGTTGTCTGCTGTATTTCTAGGGTCTAACTGGATATTGCCTATTTGTTTTTGCTTACTTGACTGGCCAAAGCTGTTTCTCTGACGGGCACAGGGGTTCCTTTGTTCAGATTCTGAGGATGTGGGCCGATAACCAAGATTTGAACTGGGAAGTAAGACTGTTACATGTGTCCGACCTGAAAGTCTCCTGTCCGGGTCAATGCATCGGACACTGTGTGCACCTGAGTCTGCTATGTTTGGTATCTGAGTGATCGAGGGCCAAAAACATCCGCTTCACCTCCAGCTCTGGTCACGGTCACTGCTGCCCCCGCCGATGCTTCATGTTGTTGATTTTGCCGCTGAATGTCTCTCCTTGCTTCCGTCAGCTCTCCAGTGACGTCAATGACGGTTGTCTGAGAAGAAGGTCGTCACAGCGTGGGCCCTAAACATCCCAAACCTATTATAGTGTTCTGGCTTTCTTCTAAACAAACAACCCTCTGTGAATGAGGCCGACCTGTGGCTTCAAACAGACTCAAATACTGAGCGTGCTTTCTTTGCAGGCAGCGCTGCTTTATTCTTCAAGTGACCAAACAAAGCAGGAGTGACAGGTTGTTGAGTAGACAGGAGAGGGTTGGCTCCACGTACAGGGACACATGCCCATGCAGACAATACAAGAGTTATTAGATGCTGTAATTGTCCCTCCTGTTCAAACTGTCTTAACATGAGTCAACTTAGTCATTGAATCTACATGAAGCACCAGATTCTTTAAAGATGAGCAATGTTTTTGGCATAACTTTTGTATTTGTGTCGTCACATCATCAGAGTTAAGCCAGGGAAGCCTCGCTACAAAACTCAATCACATCTGAGCATGCTAATGAACCGAGCTTAACAGCAGAATTAAAACGGGTTAAAGCCTTGTACCAGAAAAAAAAGTTTTTCGTCTCCATCCTGGAGCTTAGTTTCCTAGTCAAGGCAACTGCAAACGGGCTTAAGTTCTAATGAAGCTTCTATGGAGGAATGTGGAATGTGGAAGCAGCTTTGGTATCACCTCAGCTGATTCTATCACTGAGTTGCATTCTCAAGTATTTTTTATCCAGTTTTTCAAACAATTCTTAATGCAAAACTATCTGTATTTACTGTGAGAAGGATAAAGAAGCTCCATGTTTGTATGCCACATTTACATGTGTGGTGGTTGATGTGTGGACCTCCATGTGGCCGCTCTCCTCCAAGAAGAGATTTAGCGCTGATCGCTAAAGGTCCCACGTGTTACACTCATGGTCAAGGAGGTATGATATATGCCAGCTACAAAGTGATGGTCAGGCGACAGAGACACGCCTAAATGCACGGGGAAATCCCTGATTGATGTGTGCGTGCTTAAAAGAGATACATGTATATTCTATACATTTTTGTTATCGTGTGTGTGTGTGTGTGTGTGTGTGTGTGTGTGTGTGCGCTTTGGAGCATGTGGGTTTGCAGAATGAGTGTCAAGCAGTTTGAGAATGTGGCATGTAGGTGTGTGAAGTCCTGGAGCCGGAGCTGTCTCAGGCCTGGCAGGCAGACGATGCGTCGGCAAACTTTGAGATGTTTGAACAGTGAGGCCCACGCAGGCCACTGCAGTCTCTCTCTCTCTCTCTCTCTCTCGCTCTCTCTCTCTCTCTCTCTCTCTCTCTCTCGCTCTCTCTCTCTCTCTCTCTCTCTCTCTCTCTCGTCCTCTCATTCTTTCGCTTTCATCAGTGGCACACACACTCACACAGACTGCACCATCCAGCTGCAGGAGCACTAAATACAGCAAACGACCGACAAATGTGCTCAACCCAAAAAAAACAAAGTATTTTCCTAATTCAAAGCACTTTGCACAATAATCAAAGTACTTATTATGAAAATGTTAGAGTGCTTCAGCTGGCTGATTTATGCATCAGATTAACATATCAATGTTTGTGCATCAGAAAGTTTCTCTTCCTTTTGTCCTGTAGGGATTCAAATGAGTCCTTCGGTTCCCTTGCCTGCGTAACATTGATGATTTTTCCTGACCTTACCGACTTCATGTTTTATTCCTTTTGGAGGCAGTAAGTCACCTCTGAGCTCGTGTGTCACAGTGACAAAAGCCATTGTTTCTCTCTCTCCCTTTACCACCCTCCTGAAGCCTGGAGCTCAGCATGTTTGCAGTCACCTTATTAGTTTTTTTGAAGTCAGGTTGATCATCTTTGGACAACAGGGTGGAGCTGTAGAGAAGCACGGAGGCTAGCAAAGGGCAAGGTATGAAGTCATCCTCTATTCCCGAGGATAATTCATTACCTTGCGATTTGAGGACTCCTGGTCACTGAACAGTGTCTTCTCTGCAACCGTCCTTATGACAAATACATTTACGACAAGCACTAAACAAACATACAGCAAGATATGGTTAGCATGGACATAGTTTAAGATGTTAAGGGGTAACATTTTTGCAGATTTGTCCTCCACTGGAAAAAAACTTCTTGGACACATTGTTAGTGCAGACAACCACACAGCGAGGCATGTATCTTTTTTCCCTTTTGAGCACTGGAGGACTGTAAATTGAGGTCTTTTTGGGCCCTGCCTTAAACAACGACGCTAACGCTGCTGCCGCCACTGAGGCCGATCGGTTACAAAAACCACAGCGACAACATTTTTCATGGAAAGACAGCACGATCTGAAAATGAAAAACAATCGGCAAGAGGCCATCTCCTTGTCTCAGCGGTCCTTTCTGCATGCTCGTCTGCTGAGAGTCTCGTATGACTAAAGTTGCATGCTGGGAGAACATCTTGTCCACTGCCCTGATGTCAGTGTGAAGCCCGGCAGCCGGTTCAAACACTTCCACCCTGTCTCCTCAGGTGATTTGTGTTCCTGACTGAACCCAGCATTTACAGTGCTGGAAAGATGAAAAGTTCCCTCTCTCTCTTTTTTTTTTTTTTTTTTTTCCGGGTCTGAGTTGAGTGGGGAAGATGGATAGGAGTACAGTCCAGCTGTGCTCCGCCCACATAATTTGGCTGTGAATCAGCCCCCGGGCTTCATAAATCCCAAAGTGAGGATCAGTGGTGGAGGAGCTGAGAGACACGGAGCAGGCAGCAATCATCGATCAGTATCTATCACCCGGGCA